CGCTATGAACAATACAAAGAAAAAAACTTTAGACACAGAAAGAAATTGTTGAATGTCCCATTTGTAAGATGAACATTTCAAGAAACAAAATGCAAAGACACGAAAGAACCCAACGACATAAAAACAACCTGAACAAACCTGACCCAAAACAAATAGAACAACAAAAGAAAACTGATGAAGAAATGAAACGAATAAAACACCAAGAAACCATACACTACCTCAACGCAACATTTCCCTCATATCCAGATGGTTAAACCCCAACCCCAACAGTCTAAACAATTATCCCCCTCATCCAAACACAGAAAGTCCCAGAAAAGTTAGGGACAAAAAATCCCCAGAACATACGACACATAAAACATCAAAGATAGGAAGAAACATTGAACATAAACCTAAAAACCATAACAACCAACATAAACCCTTGGGATGTCCTAGCATCCCTGTTTTACCATTTTTCCCAGCTATTGCTGCAGAGTGTGTGTGAAAGCATAGTAAAAGCACAAGTGTGGAATCAAACAAATGGATGAACATTGTCATTTCCGAGCGTCAAATTGCCTTCCAAACCCTTTTTCTTCCGCCTTTCATGTTGCCGTTCCTCACATTTCGTCACCATCTTCCTTATCCAAGAGTCGAGTTAACTTTATAGATCTTTATAGTTACCCTCTGGTAATTTAACAGTTCGCTATTGAAAATGGCCATAGAAATAGTGGATTTTCCCATAAATCATGGTGATTTAAACCATAGCTATGTTAGTCATTACCATAGGGTAAAAAATGGTAATTATTCCATAATCCATCATAATCCACATATTCCATAATCATTATTAATATCATTATCCATTACCATAGGGTAATAAATGTTCGCCCACAAATGGTAATTATGATTATCATAATCCACATATTCTTCCCATGCTCGCCAGGTCCCCGAGTCTATCCGGATTTGAAGGTGCATTTTCAGACCCTGGATTTGGTTAGCGCTCCCAGCCGGGGTAAACGCGGTCAGTTGAGCATAACGCGTCGTGAAAAGACAACTAGTTGTCAAATGGATTTAAACGGCACATATGAATGCACATAATATTGATATAATTCAACCATAACTGGAATAGTAGGGATCGAAGCAACATTAGTTAGTTTAAACATGTTTAAATTTTGTGTGACATATTGTGGCTGAATTTCTTTGGCGTATTTGCGGTGCGCTGGATGCGCAGGATGTTGGCGTAGCTTCCTTTATGGCTCGACCATGAAAAGGCGCAACCACCTGCAGAAACATAGCGCGTTGGTCGCGCGTTGCGGCGAGCAAAATCTGCCATCTAGCGGCAAAAAGGAGAAGATTCCACTGGAAAAAATGGTACAATGGTATAGCAGCCATCCCAAGTTCTGCAATGGCAAAGTACGTTCCCAGATGTTCCCCTGATAATCACGGCCATGGTGTGGCCATGGGGCCATCGATTTGGGCCAAGCACAGCGTGGTTCCAGACATTGAGAACTACGATGAGGACCGACGTGGTGCTTAATGGTTGCAAATGGATGCAAATGGGAGTTTCCTAAGTACCAATTCATGGTCTAATGACTTGGATGATTTGGGGGTACCACCATTTCAGGGCGCCAAATAAAATTGGTGTGTTTCCAACTGTTTGCTGGTCTCGAATATGCCAAAAAATGGGATGATCTAAATTGATTGATATTTGGGGACGACTTGGTGGTTTCACTATGGCTCATGTCTATGTACACACACATATTGAATATCCTTCCGTTGGGCATTTGATATATGAAAAATGGCCCATGTAATGCATTGGTGATCTTGTCAAACATGGTGATTCGTGATGTCACGTAGCTATGTTAGATTACCAGAGCTTACCAGGGTGTTATATTGATGTGCTTTGTGAATCACATATTATGTATTCATATTCATGCCCCATATTTTGCAGGAATGGGTTTAAGTCAGGAGGAAGAGGATGAAGTGATTCTGGAGTCGGAGAAGGAAGCGGCCAGAAGAGCCTGAAAGAGGCCTTGGAAAGGGAGGGAAGCTTCCCAGAATCCTCCGATTCATCCAGTGAAGAGGAGCAGAGCTACAGTGGGACCTGCTCATGTGGAACAGATTTCCATGGAACGGAGAGTCTGTTTTTGCAGTGCCCTGGATTTGCTCGTTGGGTGAGTATTGTTGGTGTTTCCCCATTTGCTATATAATCTGCCATATAATATTTATTGAATTTTATTGATCTATGTCTTCATTCATTTATTTACTTGCATTTATATTGTATGTGTTTGTTGATGTGTATGTCTATGTTTGTTTTTTTGTTTATATTATTATATGTATATATATATATATCTGTGTGTGTGCGTGTATGTGTATGTATTTTAATTGGTTTTTTTGGAGGGATTCATTCGTGATCCCACGAGACATGGGGAACCCATTACATTTTAGAAAGCGAGTGCCTTTATCCCAGCCGTTTCGTTTCAAGGTGCTCACCAGACACAGCTGGAACGGATGGACTTGGAACGACATGTGAACGTTGTGCAGCCACTGGCTCGTGGTTTCATGAAAGTGGTGTTTTCGATGTTTTCGAGGCCCGAAATGCTGATTTCACCCATAGTGATTATAGATGATTATAGATAATATTATATAGATAATTGTATCATATTTCATTACATCGGCCCTATAACTGAGATGAGGCCACACCGGATTTTTGAAGATGAGCTTTGCTACTAAGATGCTGGCCATTGCTCCACTTGAAGGTCCATATACAGTATATAAATATACGATAATATACGTGTATACTGTATATATACATATATGTATATATATATGTATATATATATGTATATATGCGTGTGTGTGTGTGTATTGTAGGTTTTTTCCATGTTGGTGCTATGAGTGCCATATAGTGACATGATCCCTTCCCCCGTTCATATTTAAATACCCCCCCAAATGAATTCCGTCAGGATGAGTAACCCGCGGCAACGTGAGATGATGATATGTTTTATTGTTTTATTGCTGCTGTAAGGTCGTGCTCTTGTGTTGCAGTTTATTACTTATTATATGATACATACATACATACTAGTTTTATTATGATCATGTTATTAGAAGTCGTATTATTGCTAGCATCATGATTGTTATTATTGTTCTTATTTATTGATAATACAGTCAGTGCCGGAATTATAGCACGGAAGTTGAGGAGTACGAAGGTATGGTTATTTATGTTATTTACCGTACCCTGTTGTTCTATAATTCTGTTTTCCTCGGAAGGTATGAAAAAAAAAAGCGTATCTGAATTTACTCCTAACTTTTTTCGTCGTTCTATAATTCTTGTTGGAGCGCTGTTGTTCTATAATTCTGTTTTCCCCCATTTTTCTCACATTTCCCATTTTCGTTCTATAATTAATTTTATCCGTTCTATAATTCATTTGTCCGTCGAACGGAAAAATTAATTATAGAACGGAAAAATTAATTATAGAACGGAAAAATTAATTATAGAATTATATAACCTCTTTTATCCTCGTTTCCTCATCAAATCTTGATTTTATCCTCATGTTATCTTCATTTCCTCATTAAATCCTCATTAAATCTTCATTTTATAGATTGTATATGTACAAATATGCAGTAAATATCATGGAGGTGCCAGAAATGATAGAACATATAGAACGGAGCAATTTAATTATAGAACGGGGAAATTTAATTATAGAACGGATCCGAATCCGCGCGGAATCGGGATCCGGAGGAGTACGAAGGTACGGTATTTTACCGTACTTTTGTACTCCTGGCTCCGTTCTATAATTCTGGCACTGACGTGTGATTTATGATTTATGACTGATTTTTTATGTGTATTTATTGATTTTTTATTATGCGTTATTATTTTTATTCTTTTGGAGGGCTCAGATTTGTTGGTTTAAAAAAGAAAACAAGGTGACTTCCCAACCAGGAGTCTTCCACGGCATCTTCCGTGGTTTGGGGCACCTTCATCAGCATGGCCTGACGCATGGTGACATCAAACCGGAAAATGTGCTGCTGGAGTGGAAAGACTACCGCCAACTGCTGTCCAAACATGCCAAGAATCCCAAGGCGCCATGGCAAAAAATGATCAGCTTTGTTGTGAAAGTAGTGAAAGTCTTGGGACCCAATTTTGTTGGGAAGGCTTTTGGGTGATTTTGTTTGGTTGCTTGTTGGCTGATGACATGTGTGATTGCAATTTCTGCTACTCAAGGCCTGGTTATCCGTGAAAAAGTCCATGCACCGTTGGAAATGTCCCACCCATTTCAAGACCGCTTGGACCCTACATCAGCTGATCGCGCACGTGCATATTATTGACATGGACACTGTGTCGCGCAATCCTGAAGGCCAGGTCGGGATAAGGGCCCCAGAGTCTGTGACTCTGCATCCCCTTTGCTGATGCATTGAGGCTGTCAGTTTTGTTTTTTGTTAATTTGATGCCTGAAAATGGCATGACGTCTCCATTGACTTTCCTAATGTTGGGGACTGGTGGCTCTGTCACCAGAATGGCTATCCCCTGCAGGGATTTTTCGGCACACCTGGTTACATGGCACTGGAAGAATATGTGTCCAGTGCCAGCCCTGCTGGAGATTTGTTTGCCGAATCTTGGACGCAGGGGCACTGGGATCCACTGGGTATACCTCCACTTCCGCTCAGATGTGGACAAAGATTGCCGAAGGGAGGCACTATCCAATCCCAAGCATCGCCACTAAGAGTCACTATATACTATGGGTACGACTGAGTCCCTGGATTTGTTCTTGATTGGTCTTTCAAGACATGCAATTTCCTCGAAAGCATACCCCCTTTGGAAATTTATCAGATCAATTTTCAATACCGGATTCACAAAATTAACCCAGAAGTCTGGGAACATGCGATGACAATCCAACTTGAGAGGATCATAATCCAACTTGAGGGAAAGCTTACACAATTCTCGAAGCGTCAGCTGATGTCGATTGCCTTATGGGACAAGCTTGATAGGTCCAAGGGCTGGTCAGATCATCCTTCAGGCAGGGGTCATGCTGTACCAGCTGATTCGTTGCAACTGTCCCTTTCATGAGACAGTCTTTCGAGCAACCTAGCTGCATTGAACGACAGTTTGTGATATTTTGTTCATGTATGTTCTCCCAGATTTCGACAGTTTTTTTGGGGTTTTCGGATGGAGGCATATTTTTTTTGTTTTTTTTTTACGTGTTTTGGATGTTTTTTTTGATTTCTTGGTTTATCGTGCTTTCTCCTTTTGTTTTTTTTGCTTTTTTGCTTTTGTGTTTTTTTTGCTTTTTTGCTTGTTTGCTTTTTTTGCTTTTTGATGCTTTTTTGCTTCTTTGCCTTTTTTTGTTGCTTGTTTGCTTTTTTGCTTGTTTGCTTTTTTTTGCTTGTTTGCTTTTTTGCTTCTTTGCTTTTTTTGTTTTTTTGCTTGTTTGCTTTTTTGCTTGTTTGCTGTTGTGCTTTTTTCAACAACAACAACAACAACAACAACCATTCAGAATTTCTGCAAACGCTTTGCGGGGGGAGGCGCTGCGCCCTCCCCGCTGCACCCCCCACCCGCTTTTTTATCGACAAATACAACAACTACAACAAGAACAACAGCAACAACAACGACAACAAACGCTTTGTGGCAGCCGCAACAGCAACAAACGGCAAACAACAAGGCAACGACAAAACGCAAATTTTGAACATGTACTGTAACAAAAACATAGTAACCGCAATTTCTGCGAAGCCCCCCCCCACCCGCTTTTTATCAACAACGACAGCAACCACAACAACTACAACAACTACAACAACAACAACAGCAACAAGAAGAACAGCAACAAGAAGAACAACAACAGCAACAACAACAACAACAACAGCAACAACAGCAACAACAGCAACAACAACAACAACAGCAACAGCAACAGCAACAGCAACAACGACTTTAACGACAAGAAGAACAACAACAGCAGCAACAAGAACAAAAACAACAACACCAACAACAAGAAGCAACACAACAATCAAGAGTATCGGAATGCAGCAAATACAGTGCAACTTGAGAGTTTGAAGTGAATGTGACAAATACCATTTTTGAAAATGAGAATTAAAACGTGCAACAACAACGACAACAACGACCACAACCGCAAGATATCAATAAGCAGCCCGAACTTCTGCAACGCTTTGCAGCGCCTCCCCCCTGCGCCCCCCACCCGCTCTTTATCAACATCAGACAGCCGCAGCATATCATTCAGAATTTCTGCAAACGCTTTGCGGAGGGAGGCGCTGCGCCCTCCCCGCTGCACCCCCCACCCGCTTTTTTTATCAACAACTACAACAACTACAACAACTACAACAAGAACAACAACAGCAACCACAACAACAACAACAACCATTCAGAATTTCTGCAAACGCTTTGCGGGGGGAGGCGCTTCGCCCTCCCCCCTGCACCCCCCACCCGCTTTTTTTATCAACAACTACAACAACTACAACAAGAACAACAACAGCAACCACAACAACAACAACAACCATTCAGAATTTCCGCAAACGCTTTGCGGGGGGAGGCGCTTCGCCCTCCCCCCTGCACCCCCCACCCGTTTTTTTATCGACAAATACAACAACTACAACAAGAACAACAGCAACAACGACAACAAACGCTTTGTGGCAGCCGCAACAGCAACAAACGGCAAACAACAAGGCAACGACAAAACGCAAATTTTGTAACATGTAACAAAAATATAGTAACCGCAATGTCTGCGAACCCCCCCACCCGCTTTTTATCAACAACGACAGCAACAACAACAACTACAACAACTACAACAACAACAACAACCACAACAACAACAACAGCAACAAGAAGAACAACAGCAACAAGAAGAACAACAGCAACAAGAAGAACAACCACAACAACAACAGCAACAAGAACAAGAACAACAACAACAACAACAGCAACAACAGCAACATCAACAGCAACAGCAACAGCAACAACGACAACAACAACTTTAACGACAAGAAGAACAACAACAGCAGCAACAAGAACAAAAACAACAACACCAACAACAAGAAGCATCACAACAATCAAGAGTATCGGAATGCAGCAAATACAGTGCAACTTGAGAGTTTGAAGTGAATGTGACAAATACCATTCTTGAAAATGAGAATAAAACTGCCAAAACGTGCAAAATTACAGCCCAAAGCACCTAAATGTAGCAAATAGATGCACATACCATAGAAAATTCACAAGCTTTAGGTCGAAACAAATAGCAAAACGTGGCAGAAACCATGCAAAATGAAAACCAAAGCACCAAAATGTAGCAAATGCCATGGAAAATCATAAGTTTTTTACGCAGAAACCATGCGACAAACCTGCAAAACACCATACAAATCACACCAGGCACGAAACCAAAAAAAAAAACCAAAACTGTAAAAAAAAACACAATTCTGCACCCTTTTCGGATCTTTGGCGAAATTTAGCACCTGCACCTCTCAACTTTGGTGCAACATTGAGGGTGCCTGGTCTGTTGTTTAGCCTTGCAGTTGGAAATATTCACCGAATCTCAGCACTGAGCAACAACAAACAGATAATGGGTAGTTAATGGTAGTTATATAGCTGCTGCAGCTTTACTATATACTTTCCTACTGGCATTTGCAGTTTGCAATTTGCTTGCTAGCCGCTTAGCCCAAGCCAATGTGGTTCTCTTACTGGTGATGAAGGTACTGGTGGTGGTCGTCGTGGTGCGTGGTTGCTCAATAGTTGTTATGGTGTTCGAAGGGACTGGTTGTGCTGCAGCTGTTGTTATCACTGAGGTTGTTCTGCTTTTGCATTGTTTTCTTGCTTTATGCTTACTTTATGCTTACTTTATGCTTACTTAGTTGGTGCTACATAGTCAGGTGGATTGGAGAATCTCCTGTGTCTTTCTTCTATTCATGTCCCACATTTTCGTTGACGACGGAATGTTCCTGGTTTCGCTCCTTACTTTCATAGATCGCATCCAGAGAATGAGAGGTCGTAGCCTCCATTCTTGTTGTGTCACATGCTATCCCCAGTTTGTTTTGCATCGTATTTGTTCCCCATTCGTTAGATTTGTATGGCTTTGTTCCAGGAATGAAGTGATGGTTCAACATCTTTCAACTGATTGTGTTTGAAACCCTGCTTTCTTGTAGGTTTTTCCATGTTTTCCCGTCAAGAAATCAGGTCAACACCCCAATTGGACCGAGCATCCATGGCCTGCCTTGCCGAAAGCCACGGGACTTGTGTCGGCAGCTGCGTGCAGATCCACGCAACGAGGTTTCATCTTTCAACCAGACATGGGGATGACATGGCGATTTATTATTTGTCATTTGTCAGTCTATCTATCCATTTGTCCATGTATCCTATTTACCTTATTTATCTTATTGATCTTATTTGTCCATCTATCCATCTATCCATTTAATTCCATTTATGCATCTACGCATCTATACATGTATGCATTTCTATTTATCTAGCTATCATCATCTATCCATCTATCCGATCTATCCGTTTCTATTTTATCTGTCCTGTCCTATCCTATCCTATCTAACCGTGTGCTATGTCCCAATTATATAATGGCACGTGTACGTCCCTGGGAGGATCCCCCTTTCATCACCAGGTGGAAATGCTGTGGCCACATCTTGAAACTCGAGGCTTTGGATGAGATGGCCTGAAAAAAGCCGTGCCACATAGGGGGTTGGCCCATGCGTCATAGTACCACCAAGTCCATGTGAGCAGGACTTGGAAGCAGTGGTAAAAATATTTGTAAAAGCAACCCGAGGGCCTTTTGAATGTTACAAACAGTAGCAACCCCCATAATGCCCACACGCGCTTACCCAAGTTAGGCGGGTAGGGTGGCATTGAACATATTAGAGACATCAACCAAATAGAATCCCCCAAAAAAAACACAAAACATGTTTCAAAAAAACATGTTTATGATTGGGTTTAGCCATGTTTAGCCCAGGTTTACACACCACCCCAATCATTTCCACCCAACCGGACCAACTGGACCAAGGCTGAGACCACCCCGCCGGAGATCTTGAGGTCTCGACCTCAGCACTGGGGCAATGGGTCTATTTGCAGCTACCCTCTGCTAAACTAACATAGCTATGGAAAATCACCATGTTTAATGGGAAAACTCACTATTTCTATGGCCATTTTCAGCAGCTATGTTAGTTTACCAGAGGGTACTTTAGTGGGACTTCAAAAGTGGGACACACCAAAATTTGTTGAGGCTACGTGACGTGCGATAAATAGTCTAGCAATCCTCATAAGTAAATGGGATCCCCATAAAAATGATATAAAAATGGCAGGAATGCACGGTGCAGAATGTCAGGCATCCCTTGGATAGCAGTAGCAATTGACAGAAATGAACGCAAAATTTGATACCATGTTTAAAAATGTTGTTGAAAAATAAGTTCATCAAGAAATAGGAAGAAATGGCGTTGGGAGATGCTCTTCCTATTGCTGGGTGACAGAAGCTGATGACAGCAAGGCGGCACTACCGACGCCTGGCGCGAGATATCCATCCCGACAAGCATCCGGACAACGTGGAAGAAGCGACCCGCCGGTGGGGGGCCAAGGCGTCAAAGAGTTGTTGAATCGGTGAGTTTAAACATGGTGTATAACAGGGGATGTAGTCCACCTTTGGAGATTTCAGCAACCGGAGGATATCAGTGAAAAAGCCTACGAATATGGTAGAGCACAGAGAAATTAAAGACGCAAGCCATACAGACCCACTGAATGGGAACACAACCATGATACAAGCAACATGGAATAGTTCTATTGCCATGATAGATGAGGTGGACCCCACAAATGCTCACAGCATTTCACAGCGATCTCTCCTGGCACAAGGTTCCAACAAGTCACAGAAGCATATGAGGCCAAGCGCTGTGCAAACCGATGTCACATGCATCCATGACACTTGAGTGCACTGTGAAAAAAAACCCTGCGGGTTGATTATATGGGATTATACATCATCCAATATCATCCAATATCATCCAATATCCATTATGGGTATCATAATTTGGCATTCTAATGGATTTTTTTGGGGATTATACTGTAGGGGATTGTACTGCCCAATGTCTGGTGGATTATCATAATCGATTATGGGGGAATCTCAATTAAATGCCGCGCAGGCCATCGCCACCCGGCTGAAGCTCTGAGCGAAATGACTGCAAGCTGCGAAATGACGTGCCCGTGAGGGTTTCAGTTGCCATGTCCAACTGCCATCAATTACCCTCACGGTTATGGGCAACTGAAAATTACGGTCCATTATTATCATTAATTTCAAATTACCATCATGGCTATGGGGAGATTTAAAATGGAGATTTGGTTATGGACGGTTATGGTTATAACTTATGGCTATGGGGGTTCATTTGCGAGAGTTCCCGGGAGAACTGAAATTATGGAAATTCAGTCATTGGAAAATGCGGATTTAGGCATCAGAAAATCAGGAGTTACATCATGTCCATAAAACATGGCTGGGAAGCCCGCCACAAATGAGCCCTTTAATGGGAAAGCATCTTGTGCAAATGGTAAAACATGCCTAAATCTGGATGTCTTTGATTATCAGGCTAGGTTGCCAGAGGTATCATGCTTGTGTCCAACCGTCCGATGTTGGAAAACCATAAGTGGATCTGCAAATCAGGATAGCAGTACCCCAATGACGGCAACTGGATCCACTGGGTCCCTTTAGTAGGTTCCAGGTCCTCGTAGGTTGGGTGCAAAAGCTACCCGCAACAAGCAGCTCATGAAGAGACAAGTCTTCGAGGGAAAGACTGGGTGCATTCCGCGTGATGTCGACATTTGTGGCCTACCGTGACCATCCATGCCCCAAACTGCTGATGTATCGGTATATCTGGTATCTCCTCAAAGTTGGAAAGCATCAACATCTAAAGTACCAGGCAAAATCCATCATCACCGAGTAACATTTCGGTATATTTCATGGAACACCTCAGCATTTTGTGCCAGCTGATTTCATTCCTGAAGGTTCAGAGCCAAATGAGACGATATGGAGACAAGATGAGACAAGCAGTGCACGAGAAACTGAGGAGTGGCGAGCCCCTCAAAAGCTGCTGGTATATTGGGGTGTCCAAATGCCAGTTACAGATACCCATCAGGGGATCTGTCACTGCACAGTTAAAACACGTAGGAACCAACCAGCATACCAACAGAAAAGATGTTTACACGCATTTTGGCTGCTACACGCATGTAAAATGTACGGATACGGACACTACAGCACTGCAAAAATGCTTTCAACAGGACATGAAGATCCGGACCAAATCTCCAGGGGGTGCAGTGAAATGAGCAACTCGGATGCCGTATCTCTTATGCGCTGAAGGTAACCGAATCCAATCGATTTCGGGGTTTGCTGATGGATCGCCTGTCGATTTCGGTGACCGATATTGCTGCAGAGGCAGAAAATTTGGAGACGGGGGACGAAAAACCAGCGGGACAAGCCTTAAGAGGTGGTAAAACAGCGATGCAAAAAGAATGATTGCAGACGATTCTGTAATCATCCTAAGCATTGCTACCATGGTTCCAATGGATTTTTCTTGAGTGCATAAGGAGCTCCTCAGCAGATTGGACCACTCTTTCAGCCCTCCATGAGCTCGGGGTTTGGGAAATAGTGCTGTTGGGAAAACTTGTGGAAAAGGATTCCCTAAACAAATCCAGCTATCACAGTCCCTTTGAATTGCTTTCCTCAGTTTGAGGATGCTTGGGCACCTCAATTTTGTTTTGCAACGTGCCAGTATATTTATACTCAATGTATACTTAGTTCCCGGGTGGTGCTCTTTTTGACTTTTTTATTTCATTGCCATTGTTGCCATCTTGCCCGCTGACACGGGTGCCATTTTGCTCCCGGGAATGTCTGGCAGTTCGGGCGGTGGCAGTTCGACAATGCCAATGTGAGAAGCCGCGCCTGAGAATTACCTGTGTTCACCTTTGGCGAAAACAGAAAAGCATAGAAACGCTGAGAAATGAAGGGGGGGGGTGGAAAACCAAAAAAAAGAGTTCACTTTTTCCCTCTTGTAAACTCGGGAACTCAGTATATGTATTTCTTGTGACCCAAAATTACTCAAAATTGATATGGACATTATGGATCCAGAACATGCCGCGCTTCCACAGTGCAGTGGTGCAGGTCATTGGCGTTTTAGAACTGGATGGGAACTGTCGAGTTTAAGTCTCAGAGGATTGCTGGCAGTCCCAAATTATCCCAAATTGATTTCCCGCTTCGTTTTGTGGCATCATGGGTGACCAAAAAATCGTGTTGTAGGCAAGTTAGTCATGTAAGGATCCTCCTTTTTTTTAAGAGGCACAGATTGTTTGTTTATGTTTGTTCATAGGTTCAGGTGTGTTTCATGTCTTATCCATCCATTTCCATCCTGAAGATGATGATAACTGATGCTCAGACGCAAAGACCCAGGTGAGCACACTTCGACAACGATTGCATGAGAGTAGCAATGTTCCACTCTATGATCAGCATCTCATTTATGGAAGCAAGGCATGGCGGGAGATGCGGAAGTCCTCCGATTGGTAGGCCTATGGAGTAGATTATAGATGGGCAATGATGGACATGATATTCCATTGGTTCTGCCCAAGAAGCTTTGCCGTGGTTGCACTTTTTATAGGCCAATCCCCTATGACATGATCAGGTCTTGACCGACGACCTTCTTCTGAGCTCTTTGACCAACGAGAGGGAAATTCAGACGCTGGTGTTTGATTTGGGGGGCAGGAGTATAACTGTCATCGTCATCATCACCATCACCATCAGCATCATCATCATCATCATCAGCAGCATCATCATCAGCATCATCATCATCAGCAGCAGCAGCAGCACCAGCACCAGCATCATCATTCTCATCATCATTCTCATCCTCATCCTCATCCTCATCCTTGATCCACCTTCCTTCGCCTTCATTCGCCTCCGTTCACCGTCATCATCAGCCCTCAGGATTCACCAGCGCAATATAGCGCAATTAGTCACCATCACAACCATCCTTACCACCATGAGGCAAAGATGTGGTGAAAAAAAAGGTGATTATCTAAGAATAGGCCATAGGTTGGGTATTCTATGGTATTCCTGGACCATCTTGGACCCTGTTTTCAGACTCGGTGGCTTCTCACCGGCTCACAACGTGGTTTAAAAATCACTTCATCACCTCAGGATCACACTGGTCCGAGCGGCCAAGCCCTGTGCTTTGACTGCTGGCTCCTTGAAAAGCGTCAGTGATGTGGTTTTTTTGTGCGTCTTGATCCAGGTATATCCAGGTATTTCTTAAGGATTTGGGTGCCCAGATTATGATGTGATTTATGTGTTCCCACGCAGATTTATGTATTCTCGGCAAAACTAGACCATGGAGACAGGATACTCAGGATACTGCTGAAATTTGATGAGATGCCGAACGATTTGACAATTTGACCCGCAGGTTCAGATGGCAACTTTATGCTCTGGGACTTGGGAACTGGTCAGTGCTGCCGCTATCTTCCTATTAGCACAACTGTGGTGTGCTTGGCAGTGGATGCTCAGGCTGAAAGATGTGGTAATGCAAATTCTCGAAAACAGGCAGTTTCAAGTGAGTTGCTGCTACAGTCCCTACTGAAACTCAACTCAAGTGAAAGAAGCTAAGGAAATCTAAGGATCATGAATGGATCAGAGATGGATACAGTGCACACTTAGTAAACACATGTACCCTCTGGTTATTTAACATAGCCATGGGAAATGGCCCATTTATAGATGATTTTCCCAGCTACTGTAGAAACCTCCATTTATAAGGGATTTTCCATGGCTCTGTTAAATAACCAGATGGTAAACACGACTAACCAAGACTTGTTCCACCATTTCAGGACTGGATTGCGAGGATCGTGTTGAGTGGTCACACGGACTCCTACTTCAGGCCAGACCTGTGGGGATCATCGGGGATCATCCGCATGCCCTTGGGATGATGTAAAATGACACCCAAATAGTTGGTTACTGGGTTGGTTTATTGTATTTATATACTTCATTATTGGGTTTGCCACATCACCGTTCTGAGGCTTTAAGGAAAGAAAAAGAACCTGATGATAGACGTAAATTCTAGATATATTAGATGAGATATATGCTTCATGATCGGGTTCGCCCGGTTCTGTCCGGGATGTAAAAAAATCACTTGGTTCGCGGGATGGGACTTTCTAAATGTCATGCTTCACCATGGGACTATATATTCTCGTATTAGGCGCCCATTTTGAGGTATGCCCCATATCTGGAAAATCACACGGTTTAAATGGATCCCAACGGATCCACATGATGTGACCATGGTACAATAAGCCACTGGGAGTACACATTTTTAAGGCCAAATGAAATCCCTACCCAAATCCCATCATTTTAATTTGGATGGGTCAAAGTCGTTCAAATCCCAATTGATGTACTTGTTGCTTCAACCCCCATTTCATCCTATGTCTAGTGGTTTAATCCATTTTAATCCTAATCAGCTTGGTGGTATTGCCATTTTTTGGTGGTTAAATCCGTTGTAAATCCCCATGTTTGATGGCAAATTGGCCAGATTTCGAGATATCCTGAGGCCACAGTATGTCATGATTGTCATGAGCCCATTGGATGTTACCAGTCCATGCTTTGAACTTAAGAGAAATGTGACATAAATTCATATGGGTATGGATCAATACCTATTAATACCATTTTTGGGGGGATGAACATCCATAAATCCCAGCTATTTTGATGTGAACAGAAGGGGTACAAGGTTTTGACACACTGCCATATAAACCTATACTGTACTAGTCGCAATGAAATAAATCCCCGTTTTGGCGGCAAAAATCGACCAGTTGTTCCACCGAAATCAACGCAGAAAATCCTCCGACATCACCCCGTTGTTCGAGGCTTTGGGACTTGGACCGTGGGTTCTGCCTTCGCGAAATGGGACTCTCCACAACCTTTGCCACGCCCAGATGTGTGGGAAAACCCAGGTGTCGGGATGATTTATCTCGAAAAAAAATGGCAAAATATGGAGAGTTACTGGGAGTGATTGATGAATCATTCGTGAATGACTGGGATTTACTGCTATCATGGCAAATCATTCTGAATCACTGGAGTTCTAATGCAGTATGGTTCTAATGTGTTTGTCTCCAACATTGCGGGAGTTGCCGACAATACTGTACATGGCTAGTTTTTACAAGGAAGATTATGATTTAACCATGCGATGTAATACAAAAACCTACAGGAAACCATGGAAATTCTGATCAAATATGAAAGTTCCAGCAATGTTTCGCTTGATTTGGTGCAAAATATGTTACGAAAACATCACCAACAGGGAGGTGTCCGAATGACCAGCCAGGATTTCAAGAGTCTCAAGAGTCTCAATCCAACAGGGTCCACCCTTCGAAGAGTTTCTGCACCACATCGGGATGCAGGAAACCTTACTTTATCGTAGTAATGTCAACCCCGGATTAGTAAACCATGGTTTATCAATTAGGGGGGTACTCCCCAAATAGTCATAATCTGATAATCCAGGGTTGACATCATATTATATTGTAGTTTATTTGGATGGTACTGAAGAGAGAGGATGTGACAGCAAAGGATGCTGCCCTTCAAAGGTGGAGTTCGACTGGAAGATGAAGGTTGCTGTCAGTACCTCCTCAGCCTTTGGATGTTTGGGCCTCAGCTTTGGCTCAGCTTTGTGAATTGTGGGGATGTTTTGTCCAACAAATCCCATGATTTGCAGGGGAATTTCCCTCCCTAGTGCTGAAAGCTGAAAGGATTGGAAGCTACTTCTGCTGCGCAATGTGGCACAGGTTGCATGATTGGACTTCCTGCACCTCCTTTGGGCTTGTGGGATTTGGCGGCAGGAAGATTCATCCAAGGTTGGCTTCTCAGCCACTCCAAGACACATCCCTCAGGGCCCCACTGCCGGGCAGCCAGCGAGGTTTCTTCCCAGCAAGTGGAAATTCCAGATGTCTCTCT